TTATCTACTGGCGCGACAGCAAACGTCTTCCTTCTAATCGTTTGATGTTGTGAGCCCCAGTCTAGAGCTTTGTTTGCATATACGACCCCTCCTCCTCCTCCCCGTCAGCCAAATACGACCCTTCACGTTGGACTTGGTCCAAGGACGGTTAGTCCTGCATGTGATTGGAAACATGAACCTGAATTTGCATGTCTCCATAAATTCTTTACGTGATCGGAAAATCGCAGGAAACAAACCTTTCCTTTTTTGGCTATGAGCGGAAAACCTCCTTCTCAGTATTCGTTCTTTTAGGGGTGGCCCACAAACAAGAAATGTTGAGCCATTGCTTCTATACTTATATACCAATTCATGTTATGTATTTGTAATAGGAAAAGATTTCAATTTCTATCTAGGGCACTACTTTCTCTGAGCTAGTGACAGGGATTTTATTTTGACCCTGGATTCAGTCTTACAATGCCGATTGGACTCAGCTTATAGCACCATATTTCAGCTCTGACGACGCTGACGCTGACGCCATGTCACAACATAAAACGATATATGATTTCACTGTCAAAGACGCAGAAGGAAATGACGTTTCGCTCAGCAAGTACAAGTATGTTTCGTTCTGAATCCCTTCCTGTTCTGCAACTGTGGCTCTGTTGGCTTACTATTAGGTTGGAAAAGAAGTGATGCAATTTTTTTCTTTTTTTTTTACTCAAATACTCTGCAATACTTCATAGTTTACCTGGCGGGATACCCCCCAGGAGACCCGTCGCGAGACGAAAAGGCAAAACGAGTCGCGGGTGCACTGTAGGGAAATCGCGTCAAGTTAAATGGAATGCACGTCCTTTTTCACACATCACGCGCCGCGACCAGGGTCAACCCTACGTTGTTACGAGTAACAACGGGGGTCGTACTCAGTTGAGCTTGGAGGGGGGTCGTACCCTCTCGGTGGCCGACAGTGGGATTCTTGGTAATATCGGATAATAGCCAGCACGTTACGTTTTCGTAAGATGACTGATACTAGAGCATCTATAAACCACGCTTCCCTCTAAATGAGCTTTCAAATGAATCAGCGAATTAGAAGGGCGCCCGAGGCGTGGCGCGCACCAAGGCAAGGGATGTAGTGCAAGCGCATGCTCGAAGCTTTCTAGCACATCCTAAGTTAAACATGACATTGGTCTTCCAAGAAGTTACGGGCAGTGAAACCTAAGAAAACCCGCGTTTTCGGAAAATGGCTTGAAGAATACCCCTCAAAAAAGTAACAACGGGACTAATTTTTGAACTGCTGACTTTTCAGGAACGTTTTGGTGCTCGTAAGAAAGCTTGAATCCTGTAGTTTGTCATACCGTGTTCAGCTTCCCAAATGAATGACTTTGAAGGAAGTTATGATCGTTTGAAGGTAAAAAGTCGCGGTTCCAAAAAATAGTAACGCAAACCCCCAAAAAAGTAACAACGGGACTAATTTTTGAACTACTGATCTTTCAGGAACGCTTGGGTGCTCGTTAGAAAGCTTGAATCCTGTAGTTTGTCATACCGTGTTCAGCTTCCCAAATGAATGACTTTGAACAAAGTTATGATCGTTTGAAGGTAAAAAGTTTTGAGTTTAAGTTAAAAAGTCGCATTTGCACAGAAAAAAGTAACAACGTACTAAATTTTTATTAAATTAACTTTCGAAGAATTTTTACCCATGGTTGGAGAGAGAATAATTTGAATTTTCCAAATCAAATCACTTCGGCGCAGAAGCTCGAATATGAAGGAAGTTATAGCCTTAGAAAGAGGGGTGTAAAAATTGTGTTGCAATTGAAGAACGTGAAGGATTTCAGTATTTCAATTGGAGCGATAATTTTTTCTGACTTCTCATAAGTTTTTATCAGGTAATATTGTCAATATTCCGGTCACTGGTTCAGTTTATTTCATCTCCTAGTTTGGTAACCCTTTGGAGTACACGGATATCTTTGAATGCATCTCATTTTTTCGTGTTTGGAAGCAGCGATGAATATCTGTCGTGGATTTTGCTAAAGTTTCATCTTTGATGACTTACGTAGAAATAAATATTGATGGTAAACACTGTCTCTACACAAGTGTCACATACAAGGGGGGTCGTATCAAATCACCCATGAAGGGGGGGGTCGTAAAAAATTTCCAAAGAGTAACAACGATAGGGTTGACCCTGCTCCCTGCCGCGACTCGTCTGCCGAATCGGCATTCTTGCCGCGCGATGGGCCTCCTGGGGGGTACCCTACCTGGCGCAGTTCGTTACGAACACCGTAACGTAGCAATATTAATTTCTTTCACACCGTTGCACTCCACATGTGGCAAGGTGAGATCGTAAGAGAATTCTGGAGCTGAGCTGGAAACTCCTGCTCCACCCAGCATATTGTCCAAGTCAAGCACCATACCATGTTACAAGACTTCCTTTCCAACCAAATAAGAGCATCGTTCCTCGTGCATCGTTCCGTTTAGCTCATTCTTCGTGGCCTAATCATTATTTTAGAGGGCAAGTGGTCATCGTGGTAAATGTCGCTTCAAAATGTGGTTACACTAAAAGTCACTACACGGAGCTGAAACAACTTCAAGACAAGTACTATGACCAAGGTCTTCGGGTTGCCGCCTTTCCTTGCAATCAGTTCGGTGGACAGGTAGGTTTATGAAGCTTGATGTTCTAACCACTTGCGTCATTGGTCACGATCTGGCATTCAAGTGCTTTCAGCACCGAACTAAAATCTTTTGCAGACCGCAGGGACTAATTCAACAGCAAGGGGAAATTTATGAGCGATGAGAAAATTTTACACATCCTTGATAGTTCAACAAGTTTGATAGTAATCTAGAGAATGAAAAAAAGGATGTGAGATTAAGGATCTATGAAACGTCGATTTAAAGAAAGGAAAAGCATCGGAGCCCAAGAAGAGGTTGCTCCCGCTAAGTATCCGTGGCTGCCAATTTCTTTAAAGGAATCTTGCGCGGAAAAATCATGATTCTATTTCAGCCATAAATCACTGGCTTGAGACTCATTATCCACGATAATAGTGAAAAGAACTGAAGTATTGCTTTCGTTTTGATTAGAAATTCGAAAACTCGAAAAGGCTGCTACGCGTTCGAATTGCCCACGGACGTCTTTCACGAATGCTGGCGACGGGGATGCTCAAACTTGGTTCTTGGAGTGCATTCACTAGAAGCTCTTTCTGGCCTTCTGCTTCGTTGCATTCACATCTTACACTTCTACTCCATCCTATTCCATCGATCGATTTGTCTCCACTCTCCGAAATCGCGCGCTTTAACCCGATTCTCTCATTGCGTCGCCTGGTACGTAGCCGGCCAAACGCCGTCTTCTTTCCATGCCTCGCCTGGCTCTGCCTCCTGGTCCTTCGATGGTCCATAACGTGTAGTTTTTGTACGTTTGTTTCTCTTCAGAAACCGAATCTTCATGCGTGAAACTTTGTGTGCTATTTCCAGTGATCACAACTGACATATTCATGTTAGGAAAGAGTGCAAGAATTTTCCGCGCAAGATTCCTTTAACACGTTGACGACCGCGCTCGTTTTCGCTGTCTGGCGTGTGGGACCGCGCGCATTATTTTGACCGCGCGTCCCACAATCCAGTGACATCATGACATCATGTCACACGGTCCCACGAGAACACCTTTTCTGGGAAATGTTTGTTTGTTATCTTTCTTGTGTGGTAGGTATCGGATTTTGCGATTTTGGTCATTTCAATAATTGAGAGTGCGTGGAAAGGGCCAAAGCTAACGTGCGATTGAGAGGTACTCTCCTAACAATAAGATCACTTTGGTCCCCTTATCTCGAGCTTATAATATGATCGTTGGATTACAATCGGACCTACATGTCGAAAACCACTCACAGACTCGAGGGAAAGGAGGAACGGAGGCGAAAGGAAAACGTTCAGAGACAACGCAAAAGCGGGTACAACTATGCAGGATCAACGGACGCGCGTATGTGCGTCTCCGACCAAAAGTGTCCTCACCCACTGTAGCAAATTGTTATTGCAAACATTTTTTGTACGATCAATTTCAGCCTGAGCACAAAAAGTGCGACTAATGATCATTATTCAAACATTTTTGAAAAACTCGATAGCCCATCAACCGAAGCTTCCCAGGGACCACGCCTTTTGTAACAATGCCTAAGTATGGCGCATACATCACGTAAATAAGTTACCTGAAAATGTTTGAAAACCAGCTTAAAAAAGACTGTGACATGACATCATGTCACACGGTCCCACGTGGCCGAAAGAGTGTGGTATGACATCATACCACACGGTCGTCAACGTGTTAATACCTCAACCCAGTTGCATGACCTGTTAAGTCGAGTTTAGCCCTGGGCACATCAGCTATCATTCACGAACGACTGGACCCACGCTTGCGTGCAAAAGCCTCAATATCGTGTAGATCTCGTCACAAAACTTACGTTACGACCATATGTCCCTCTACGAAGGAAATTGACAGTGGGAAGTGATGTGGTGACAAGTGGCCAGGGGTTGAGTTCTAGATCCCCACATCTGCGCCAGTAAAGCCTTCCATTCCACCACACTTGGCTGATTGGTCATAGACTTATCCGGGAGGATCACATCCTTGGCTCGTACACCGTTTTGCTCAAGCAATTCATTCTATAGGCCAAATTGCATTCAAAACATCTCACTATTCTGAATGGAAATAAAATGCATGGCGCAGCCCAAAGAAGGATTGATGAGAGCCAAATGTTTTCTTCATTTTTTCTCCTTAATTAATCGAAGACAATGTTTAGTACTTTTTAGGAGCCGGCATGTGAACTTGACATAATGAAGTTTGTCAAAGATGCGTACAACTACGAGCCTGACCTGTATGCGAAGGTAAATTGTGACCTTTAATACTTTTTCACTGACGTAGTTTGGGCGAAATTTTGCTCTTTTTGCGAGGAAGGATTTCTTGAATTTATACCACACTCTGGTTCTTAGCCCTGGTTGGTGATTTACGAGGACAAAATTGTGACGACAATAATCACCTGTCACCTGTATCACCTGTCGTCCCGTTGATCATCGAATTGCTCGAGCGGGCGCCAGCAACGTCTCCATTCGTCCCTGTCGCGTGCAAGAGTTGTCCAGTGGACCCTCCTCGCTCGTTCATTCCTTTCGTTCAGAGCTTTCGTGAAGAAGTCTGACCATCGGGCCGGCGGTCGTCCAGGTGTTCGTTTGACGTCCCGAGGGATCCAGTCGGTAACCGCTCTGGTCCAACGGTCATCGCAAAATCGCATGACGTGTCCGGCCCACCTTATCTTCGATTCCTTGGCGAAAACGGCAGCGTCCCTGATCTTCGATCGTTGGCGTAGTTCGGAACTCCGGATTCCCCTCTGCACTTGCGTGTATAGGGTTACTCCTAGCATCGTCCTCTCGACAGCGCGTTGGATAACGCTGACCGCATGCTCGTCCTGCCTGCGCAGAGTCCAAGTCTCTGAGGCGTAGGTTAGGGCAGGAAGGACAGCGGAATCGAAGAGGTGGGCACGGAGCCGGATGTTCTTCGTCTTCTTCACTACTCCCTCGATGTTCTTGTACGCTCCCCAAGCCGCTCGTTTCCTCCTGCTCAGCTCTGGAGCTAGATCGTTCATCATATTGATTTCCCGACCTAGGTACACGTAGCTGGAGCATTCGGTGATGTTCGTTCCGTTGAGCGTGAATGGGGCATCAGGAACCAATCCGTACACGCCATCAAGTCGGTGAAGAATCGTACAGCACCCGGTCTCGACAGGGTCAAACCGGAACATCTGAAGAATGCGCCGCCAGTTATCATCAAAACTCTGGCTCGACTCTTCACGCGCTACCTGTCGGAATGCAAGGTACCCACTCCGTGGAAAACCAGCAGGACCGTGTTGCTGTACAAGAAGGGAGACCTGGACGACATTGGCAACTATCGCCCAATCTGCCTGCTGTCTGTAATCTACAAGCTATTCACTCGAGTCATCCTTAACAGGATCGGCAGAATACTAGATGAAGGACAGCCATGCGAGCAAGCAGGGTTCCGAAGAGGGTTCAGCACGATCGACCATATCCACACGGTTACGAGACTCATTGAAGTTTCACGGGAGTACAAGATGCCGCTTTGTCTCACGTTCATCGACTTGAAGAAGGCCTTCGACTCTGTGGAGACAGAAGCGGTCATCGAAGCCTTGGGCAACCAGGGCGTCCCTACTCAGTACATCAAGATTCTTCGTGAGCTCTACAGCAACTTTACGACCAGAATCTCACCATTCTACAAGGAGGTCATCATCGACGTCAAGAGAGGGGTTCGACAGGGCGACACCATCTCGCCCAAACTCTTCAGCGCCGCTCTCGAGAACGTCATGCGTGCGTGTCGTATAACGGAGTGGGAAGACATGGGAGTGGGCCACGCGCGGAGGGAGTGAAGGTCGACGGCCGGCAACTACACCACCTTCGTTTTGCTGACGACATCGTTCTTATAACGCCGAACATCGAGCAAGCGGAGCGAATGCTGGCTGATTTCGACTGCGCCTGTGGTAAGGTTGGTCTACAGCTGAACCTAACGAAGACGAG